GGCTGGGTGGCACTCGCAGCCCAGCTGTGCCTCCCCCAGATTCTTCCCCCTTTACAAACCCAGACCCAAGTCCTGCGTGCCTACCCTGCCCCTGCCCGAGTGCTGCTGGCTGGAGGGTTGCCCAGCAGTGACAGCCCACCGCTGCGGCCCCTTCCCCTGCCCGCAGCCTCCCTGGGGAGGCAGGACCCTCCCGAGGTGCCTCGGCTTCCTCTGGCCCCCGGGAGCTCTGCAGGGATGTGCCCTCGAGCAGGGGAGGCTGCAGCTCTCCCGTGTCAGAGGATACCACGCTGCTACGAGCTTGGAGACCCGGGGAACTCTCAATTAGGAACTGTCGCCTTTTGCCGAGATGCTTATAAAATACGGCTCCTTCAATTTGTTTTTGTTTTTTTTTGGGTGCAGTGGGATCCTTCTGAAATCACTCGGGAGACGCCGACGACAGCAGCTGCTCATGGCAAAACAGCATCAAGCTCAGGGCAGAGAAGTGGTGATGGGACCGTCCCCCCCAGGCATGCTGCCTCCCCAGCCCTTCCCTCTCCAGAAAGACCCCGGCAGCCCAGCGGCACTGGGGCCCCGGCTCCAAACCCCTCATCCATTGCTGTTTCCAGACTGTCTTAAAATGCCCCAGTCACGTTGTGCTGCCAGGTGGGATCTGCTTGGAAAGACCCTGCGGGAGCAGGGGGAGATGAACTTCCCCATCTCCCAGTCTTCTGGCTTCGGGCAGCTGGCACCCCGCGACTGCCCGGGGAGCCGGGGCAGGGCTGCACGGCGTGGGGCTGGGAGAAGTCAGCACACGGGGCACGCGTTCGCCTTGGGAAATGGATCAGTATCTGTTTCTTGGGTCCTGAAAATAAAAGAAACAACAACAAAAAACCAGGCCAGATGGCAGCTTTGGTTAAGGCTGAGGATACGGGAGACAGGGACAAGCACGAGGGACTGCGTGGAGGAAGCTGGGGCCGCGGGGAGCCTCCGGCTCTGGCCGGAAGCACCTCTGCTCACCGCAGCCTGCGGGCAAGCCCTGGGGGTGGCCGTGGGGAGGAGACGCGGCTGGCTTGGCTCTCTGCCCTAGTGCCAAGACCTCTTTTGCAAAATGCAGGCTCCAGGAGCGGGAGCTGGGGGAAGCCGGAGCGCGGCAGGGCTGGCTCTGCAGGGCTTGCAC